CTAACTACACCTAACTGGACCCCCATAAGCCCAGATGGTACACTCGTGCGCAAGTTAAATAAAAACCTGAACGGACCCCCATAAGCCCGATGAGTACACAAATAACTATAACTAAAGAGAACTGCATAAAAGAACCCAAGAACGAAGAACATCGAACCAGAACCTCAACCCTAATTAGTAGAATCTGACAGTACGGAGGCCGGAACTCGAACCGGATGCTCACCAGAAGTACCCAAGTAACCAATCACAAGTATCAAGTATATGAGGCCGGAACTCTAACCGGATGCTCTATATAAGTATCTGGGCAATAGAGACCGGAACTTAAACCGGATGCTCTATAAAGGTGCCAATGTAGCTGCTGAAAGAGTCCTAATCGATCCACACTCATAAATGTCTGTGGAACGCCGTCCATACTTAGCCAATCAATGTAAGTCCTTGGAACCAAATCGAAAATCAAATTCAAACCGCGAAGTAGAACTAGTGTCGTCGATGTAACTCGTGAAGCCATAACATCGGGGAAAATAAGGATAACTATAGTCGGAGAAAGAGTATCGCCTAACTAAGGCCCAAACTATCAAACTCAAGTCTGCTACACTAGTCTACAGGGATCTAAGCCGGCCGAGCGACGTCAGGGCAAAACTAAGGTCTATTGGATCCGAATAATGTATTTCTAAGGCAAGCCCTAGTCAAACCTAAACTAAGGCCCAACATGCTTCAAATAAACAATAATTAAGCATGCAAGCACTCCACATAGCGAGGAGGGTCCGTTAATAACACAAATCATGCTCACATTACCCGATAATTCTCGAAATAGGCCGAAAACATGATTTCCAACACCTATGCATGATTCAATCACTACCAACCCAAATCCCAACTACTCAACATGCATTCACACTCTCAAGCTCAATCTAAGAGAGGGAAACCATAGCCTACCTGTAGGCCGATCACACGCGCTCCAAAATCACTCCTTCGGATCTTTCCCTTTCCGAACAGTCTCGAAACGCTGCCCCGCTATCAAAAATAGAGTCACAACATTAATACGGTGTTTAGACACTAAAATCACAACAAACGGAGACGGGTCAATTTTGGAGTCAAAATGGGAATCGTGGGACCCGCGCAGGAAATTCCGAAATTAACCCCAAAAGTGGGTCCTAACCAGTTCCCCCAGCTCATGTCCCAAAATGGGATACAATTCGGGGCTCGGGAACAACACAATATCAACATGCAACTAAAACCCAAATTTTCTCAAAAATTAGAAATGGGACAGCAGTTGAATCAGTGTATTTCCAAAAACTGGTGATCTACAGTAAAATCTGACAACACCACGACGTTCTCCTCGAAAAACCACTCAAGATAGCCTAAAAAATAACTGAAATCGGACCTAAAATGGCTGAGAAAACAAGTCTAAAAAATTTCCAAATGTAAGCTCACAAAAAGGGTGCGGTAGCAGGTATTTTTCAAAAATTACCTCAAACGGGAACTCCAAATCACTATCCGAGCTCACCAACACGTTGTCCTCGAAAAATCTCACAACTTTGCCTTTTGAATCGCCCAAATCGGTTGAGAGATGAGAGAGCTATGAGGGTTTGAAGTTTTGGAAAATTGGCTGATATATCTGCATTAAATAGCAGATTTTCTGCAACTTTTTCAAAAACTAAAAACTCCGACAGGGTGCTCCGAACTCGTTCGGAACCCCGTGCACGCAAACGAGATATGCAACCATACCAAATTCGACATTCCGGACTCAATGGCGTAGTCAAAACTTCCATCAGAAGTCATTTCGATAAAAAGTGGGTCCCACTTCCAAAAGCCATTTTAAGTCAAAACCCACAAAAGAGCTCGGAAAGATATCGAAAATCTCAAGACACAAAAGAAGGGTCAATCTAGACCAAACTCGACATTCCGGAGCTAACCACGCTGACGGAATTCTCATCCGAGCGCGTTTACTCAAAATGTTGACCAAAGTCAAACTTAGGCTTAAACTTAAAGTTAAAACGCCTAATCGCACCAACTCACACTGAAAACCTCGGGAGTCATGTCGACCATGCTACTAGCCTAAAATGACCCTTCCGGAGCTGATGGATTCGTCAGAATTGGATTCCGATGTCATCTTCTTGAACTTTTGATCGAAAATGATGGTTCAAGGTTTATAAGCTCCAAAACACAAAAACTCGCACCAAGACCAAACGAATGACTAGGTGACCAAACTGTCAGTCCCAGCAAGTCATAAATGACTTGGGGTCGCTATAGGAGCGCTCTAAACGACACACAGAAGGCAAGACACAGAAATGACCAAGAGGGTCATTACAACTATTTTATCACTTATATCAATAAAACCTGCTAAGATGAAGAAGCACAATTTCAATATATATAAAATGCAGTAGCATAAAAAATTGGATAAATTAGCTAACTAGTCAAAATCCCTAATGTAATTATTAAAAACATCTACACTTTAAAATAATTATTAAAAATGTCAAAATGTCAATATTTTAGCACATAAAGTGTCATAATATAATTCATTTACATTTCTTTTATTTCTCAAATTGGGCCCCACTTTTTGACTCCATTACGGGTGAAAGGAAAAAACAAAGGGGAACTAATTAAATACCCCATAAAAGTAAAATAATTACAAACATATACTCGTTTACATTCATACCCCACTAAATAATTACACTATATATTGTTCAACTAATTTTGCTTAACTGATATTAAATCAATACCATATACTGTATTAGTATCATTAAGACTGATAATTTCACTTAATTAATACTAAATGAGTAATTTTTGAACAAGAAACCTTAATGGTACCACAACAATATACATATACTCTTATAATATCATTGACTAATGAGTAATTTCATAACAAGAAATCGTAATGATACCAATATAATATATATATATACTGATTTAGTATCAGTTAAGCAAAATTATCAATCTTAATGCTATCAATACAATATAAAATACCGATTTAGTATCAGTCAAACAAAAAATATCAGCCTTAATGAATTTGGGGTATGAACTGTATTTATTTATGAGAGAATGAGTATTTCAGGAAATACTTTGGATTTGGGTATGAACTTGCAATTGTTTTGGGTTTTATGGCCCATTTATGTAGTTTTTTTACCCAAATTCTATCATTTCTCTTTCTCTCTCACGATTTCTTCCATTATTTCATATCCTCAAGTAGCTTAAACCTTGCCTTTTTAAAATCAAATTCCTCAATTTTTCTACGAAATCTCATAAATCATTCAAAAGTTTTTCAACCTTTGTTGAAGTGAATTTGACTGATTTGTGATTGTTTCCATTAGGGAGGAAAATTTTGAAATAATCGGTTGGGATTTCGAAGTGAATTCGACTGATTTCGTTGAACTTCGAGATTGTCAGTGAAATACTAAAACGATCAGGTATTCATTAACTGTTGATTCTTTAAATTTTTTTGAAGTGATTCGAAAATGGATCTGGATCGTATTTCGTACTGTTGGATCTTCACTAGAAGATCTTCATAAGTTACTATTCAAATATTGGATTTAAAGGTTAGACGGTCATTAAGGTATTCAATTTAGGAGTTTCGGGTCAATATCTCATCCAAGACGCTTTGTTGGACAACATCAATAATTCTAGTTATCTCTTCAATGAATTGAAGTATTTTGTATCTTTCTCACATGCAGAAGGACCTAAATGAGATGAAAGTACAGAATCGCCAGTCATATTTCAAAGTAAAAAAATATTTTTTTTAATCTATAATTTGTTTGGGATACAAATAGTGAATGATTGAATTGTTTTGATTTTTTTTGTATGTCGGATGCTTGGAATAGAAAATAATTTGGAATCCTATTTAGTAGATGTTCTATAAATTAGAAATTGAATATAATATATTTTTGGAATACATAACAGATAAGAAATACATTTTTGGTCATGAAATACAATATATTTTAAATACAATTTTTTATTGTTACCATGATTGTAAATTTGTATGTGTTTGATGACTGGAATACAAATTTGGTTGGAATTTTAAGAAAGAATATATGTTTTTGAAAAATATACAAACCAATGTTGTATCCTTTCTGAATGAACACGAATTTACAGAAGTATATGGATACAAATATGTTTCTTAAATAACGACAAATCCATTTGATATACATATTGGAATATTGGAATGAATACAATCGAGAGTAATTTTAGGAATAACAAACATAAAAATCATATTAGCGCTCTATAGCTACAAATTTTCCCTACAATCAATTACTTTTGAAATTGTAACTGATGAGAATTTTAAGTGGATATGTTTCTTTTTCTCCTATGATTTTCTCGTTTTTGTTATTAAATAATTGTATTTTTTCAAATCAAACAAATAAAAAATACATAAATCAGAAGAATAACAAACTAAAATATTGATAAAAGGTCCTATTAATTGCTAAAATATTGACATTTTGAAAAAAATTCCGAATAAAAATTAGAATAACATCATTCCCTAATCAAGAAAAAATATATTTTACCTTGTGCTCCAATCATATATATATATGAATTGTCCATTTTCCATCTTAATTAGATCGTGGGAAGAAAGAAAAACATATGCTTGGCGGCTTAATACATGCTCAATTTTACTGTCCACATGTATGTGTGCTTTGAAGTATTGTCTTCTTCTTTAAATTTATTATCCATAATCGCTTGAAAATTTATGGCTTCTTCTTAGATTTATTAGATGAGACAAACTTTAGTCTTAAAGTCCTAAATCGACAAATAAAAATGCTAATTTCCCAATTCTATTCGTTTTTTATGTCAAATCTATCCATTGACAACACTAGAATCCCATAAGAAATCAAATAAATTAAATATTATGAATAGATTGAATTATTGATGTTCATTTAATTCTTCTACAACTTTCTAAACCAACTTGCAGGCAGTCAAATAATTCAAGCAGTTTCTAGAAACTTATACCCAAGGCTTGCTATGCTATCAGACACACAACTTGAACTTCGAGATTGTCGGTGAAATACAAAAATAATCAGGTATTCATTAACTGTTGATTCTTTAATTTTTTTGGAAGTGATTCGGAAATGGTTGTTGAAAAAGTGATTCAAATATGGATCTGAATCGTATTTTGTACTGTTGGATCTTCAGTTGAAGATCTTTATAAGTTACAATCCAAATATTGGATTTAAAGGTCAGACAGTAACTAAGGTATTCGATTTGGGAGTTTCGGGTCAATATCTCATCCAAGACACTTTGTTGGACGGCATCAATAATTATAGTTATCTCTTCAATGAATTGAAGTATTTATGTATCTTTCTCACATGCAGAAGGACCCAAAAAGTACAAAATCACCAACCATATTTTAAAGTAAAAAAAATAATATATTTTTTAATCTGTAATCTGTTTGGGATACAAATAGCTAGTGAATGATTGAATTGTTTTGATTTTTTTTGTACGCCGGATACTTAGAATAGAAAATAATTTGGAATCATATTTAGTGGATGTTCTATAAATTAGACATTGAATATAATATATTTTTGGAATACATAACAGATGAGAAATACATTTTTGGTCATGAAATACAATTTTTTTTAAATACAAATTTTGATTGCTACCATGATTGTAAATTTATATGTGTTTGATGACTGGAATGCAAATTTTGTCAGAATTTTAAGAAAGAATATATATTTTTGATAAATATACAAATCAATGTTGTATCATTTCTGAATGAACATGAATTTACATAAGTAAATGGACACACATATGCTTCTTAAATAACTACAAATCCATTTGGTATACATATTGGAATGAATCCAAACTAATAAAGAAATATAAATGGCATTATACAAACCCAAATATGAAAACCATAATGAATACAAATACACATATCATACATATTGGAATGAATACAATCAAGAGTAAATTTTAGGAATAGTAAACATAAAAATCATATTAGCGCTCTATAACTACAGTTTTGCTATTTGCGCTTCTTATCATACATATCTATCCATTGACAACACTAGAATAAGTAATACTTGTACAACTTTCTAAACCAACTTGCAGCCAGTCAAATACACTTATCATACACATCTACCCATTGACAACACTAGAATTAGTAATACTTCTACAACTTTCTAAACCAACTTGCAGCCAGTCAAATAATGACTACTTATCCTCCACATTAACATTACCAAATCAGCCATTATATGATTGAGATCTGTAGACCCTTTCAATTAGACATCTTTTACAAGCTAAAAATAATTAGGCATGGCTTTGATATGGGCAATGCTAGTGATTATTTTTATTCTGTATGCCTTTTACGAGCTGCTAAACAACAACCAGAATGGGAAAAGGTATCCTCCAGGTCCAAAAGGACTTCCCATTATTGGACATCTTCACTTGTTAGGAAAAAATCCACACCAAGATTTCCTAAAACTAGCAAAAACACATGGTCCCCTTATGTATGTTAGACTGGGACTAGTACCTACGATCGTTGTTTCATCTGCAGACACAGCCGAGAAGGTCCTCAAGACATATGATCATATCTTTGCTAGCAGACCTCATAATGAGGCAGCTTATTATTTGGCATATGGACAGAGGAATATGATAGCCGCAAAGTATGGACCATACTGGCGCAACATGCGCAAATTGTGCACTCAGCACCTTTTGAGTAACCAAAAGATCAATTCATTTCAATCCATGAGAAGGCAACAAGTTGAGCTTATGATCAAATCCCTTAAAAATGAAGCTTGTGATCATCGCGTTGTTGTTGATCTTAGTGCAAAGATTTTGTCTTTGAGTGCTGACTTGACTTGCTTGATGGTGTTTGGAAAGAAGTACATGGATGAAGATTTGGACAAGAGGGGATTCAAAGCTCTTGTTAACGAGGTTGAGCATTTAGCAGCAACACCAAATCTTGGAGATTTTTTCCCCTTCCTTGGTGTAATTGATCTCCAGGGACTCACTCGCCGGCTTAAGGATCTTTCAAAGGTGTTTGATGAGTTTCTTGAGAAGATTATCGATGAACATGTCCAGTCTCGTGACCAGAAGCAATCCAAAGACTTTGTTGACACCCTGTTGGACATTATGCAATCACAAGAAGCAGAATTTCAGTTTGACCGTAGACATATAAAAGCTATCCTCTTCGTACGTTATTTTATAACCTCTATTATTGTACGATTTGGATTTGTTTGTACTAATTTCCCTTTGTATAACAGGATATGTTAATTGCAGCAATGGGCACTTCAGCAGCAGCTATAGAATGGATACTAACGGAGCTTCTTCGACATCCTCATGTGATGAAGAAACTCCAAAAAGAGTTGGAACAAGTGGTAGGCCTTGAAAGAATGGTAAAAGAATCAGACTTGGAGAAGTTGAACTACTTAGACATGGTTGTAAAAGAGGGCATGAGGCTGCATTGTGTAGTTCCACTAATGCCTCACGAGGCCATGGAAGATTGTGTAGTCAATAGCTTCCACATACAAAAAGGATCCCGGATCATGATTAACTTTTATACTGTTCAAAGGGATCCAAATATTTGGCCTGAGCCTGAAAAGTTTTTACCCGAGAGGTTTGTTGAGAGCAGTATAGATGTTCGTGGACATGACTTCCAACTTTTACCATTTGGCTCTGGCAGAAGAAGTTGCCCTGCAATGCAGTTGGGGATCATCATTGTCCAACTTATAGTAGCACAACTGGTGCATTGCTTTGATTGGGAGCTTCCAAATGGTATGCAGCCTTGTGATTTGGATGTTGAGGAGCAATTTGGGTTAGCAACAAGCAGAGAAAATCCTTTAATGGCTATTCCTACTTATAGACTAAATAATGCTTAATCTCAAACTATACAATATGGTAAGTGTTAACAGAACTCAAGAAGCAAAAGAGGAAAGGTTCAAATTATAGTTAGAACACTGTTAGTCAGTTAGGAAAAATTAGTTAGTTAAAAGTTAGTTACATTCAAGAAACAATTAGAGGGATGAGTATGTGTATAAATACAAGACTAGAGTCTCAATGTAAAGTAATCTTTTCTTGAAGAAATAATATACTACTCTGTTTCAATTCATCTTCTTCTTTAAAAGTCATATTCTATAAACCTTCATGGTATCAAAGCTTTGATCAAAGTCTGAGTAGATCAGGTGTGTGAGTTACAAATCTTGGATTTCTGAAGATCAGAGTCTCAAGTTGATTAAGCTTCCGCAATTACAAAGTGAAGATGGTTGATATGTCTCAAGAAATTAACAATGGTGGCCATGTTACTGATGTCAGTAATGGTGGAAATCCTGGGAACAATAATCCCACACCAGCTACGTCAATGAGTCAAGGAATGGATTACAATCATCCACTGTTCTTAAGTCCAGCTGACATTAGTGGAGTTAATCTCATTTCGTTTCAACTTCTTGTAATTGAAAACTATGCTGTCTGGAGCAGGTCTATTAGATTGGCTCTTCTTGGAAGGAACAAGATTGGATTGGTGGATGGTTCATGTACAAAAGATGGTGTGTCTCCTGAACTAAGGAATCAATGGGAGAGAGTAAATGCTGTGGTTCTTTCATGGCTTCTCAATTCTGTTTCAAAAAGTCTGTTAGGAGGAGTAGCTTTTGCCTCCACTGCTCAAAGTGTTTGGAATGATTTGAAGGAAAAGTTTGATCGAATGGATGGATCAAGAACTTTCAGTCTACATAAGGAAATTGCAACACTGCAGCAAGGTACAGATTCAGTGTCTGTCTATTTTACAAAACTTAAGAACTTGTGGGATGAGTTTGAAGCTCTAGTCCCATCCCCTGGTTGTAACTGTGAAAAATCAAGAGGTTTTATCGATCATGTAAACAGGCAAAAACTCTATCAATTCCTTATGGGATTGAATGAATCATATGGACAGGCTAGAAGTCAAATTCTATTAATGAGTCCTATACCAGGAGTGAACCAGGCATATGCTATGGTTGTTAGTGATGAGTGTCAAAGATTTGCTTCTAACAGTAATAACATGGGTATGAATTCTATAAGTATGTCTGGAGTTGATCCACTAGCAATGTACTCAAAATCTGGAGGGTCTACCAGTGCACAAGTACCAAACAAGTTCAAGAAAAGCTTTGGTATTGTCTGTGAATTCTGCAGGTGTAAGGGTCATACTAAAGATCAATGTTACAAGTTAATTGGATACCCGCCTGAATTCAAGTCAAAGAGGAAGGCAGTTAATGGAGCAGGAAATACTGCCTACATAGTGGTGAATGAATCCAGTAATACAAGAAGAGAGGCATATGATGGTGTATCTGATAGCTCTACATCATTTAACTATGGATTTAACACAAATGTGCCTGGTACAAATGGCAAGTCATTTGCTGGAAATAATGAAGAAGATGAGTGTGCAAAACACCTACAAGGCTGCACTTTTACCAAAGAGCAATACAGTCAAATACTACAAATGCTTAAGCAGAATAAAGGGACTGCAAATACAGGAAATGCAGCTCAAGCTCATGGAGTTCAGGCTCATGAAGTTCAGACTAATGCAGCAGGTAAGGCTCTATTAGTGTCTGAAAATAATGATGTGTGGATCATAGATACAGGGGCAACAAATCATATGATTTCGAAAATTGGTATGCTTAATAAGGAGTCTGTAGTAGAGGTTAAATGTCCAAAACCAGTATCATTACCTAATGGTGAAGTGGCCTATGTGACTCATACTGGTTCTTGTCGCATATCTCCAACAATTATAGTTACAGATGTATTTCACATCCCAGAATTTAAGTACAATCTATTGTCAGTAAGCAAAATGACTAAGGAGTTAGGTTGCTCAGTCACTTTCTTTCCACATTTTTGTGCGTTTCAGGAGCTTTACACTGGCAAGGTGAAGGCGATTGGTAAAGAAAGTGATGGGCTGTACTTGCTACTGAAGAATCTTACACAGGATCAGATAACACACCAGTCGTGTATGATGACAGAAAGAGAGGAAAAGGAAAAACAATTGTCAAAAGAGGAGGTGTGTGTATGACATAAGAGACTAGGACATGTGTCATCTCACATTTTGAACAAGTTGTTTCCTGTAAACTCAGATTGTATGAACAGAGTTTTGAATAAATGTAGTGTGTGTCCTTATGCAAAACAAACAAGATGTGTATTCCCTATTAGTAGTATTAAAAGTACCGAGTCATTTGAACTGATTCACTTGGATGTTTGGGGTCCATATAAGAAGGCAACTTTTGATGGTAATAGATTTTTCCTTACAGTTGTTGATGATTTCTCAAGAATGTCTTGGATTTTTTTGTTGAAAAATAAGTCTGATGTCTGTGTATGTGTATCACTGTTTCTGAAGTTTGTAAGAACTCAGTTTGGTAAAACAGTCCAGAAGGTCAGGTCTGATAATGGTACAGAGTTTGTAAACTCTGTATGTGCAAATATGTTTAAAGAAAGAGGTATAATACATCAAAGGTCATGTCCCTATACTCCACAACAAAATGGAGTAGCTGAAAGAAAGCATAGACACATCTTAGAGGTAACAAGAGCCTTGAGGTTTCAAGGGCACATTCCTATAAGGTATTGGGGACAGTGTGTACTAGCTGCTGTATATCTAATAAATAGGATGCCTAGTAAAGTCCTAGGAGATAAATCTCCATATGAGAGGCTATATGGAACCAAGCCAATGTTGACACACCTAAGAGTGTTAGGATGTCTGTGTTTTGCTAAAAATCTATTAGAGAATGATAAGTTAGCATCCAGGTCAAAATCTTCAATACACATGGGGTACTCAGAAACTCAAAAAGGTTACATATTGTTTGATTTATCATCAAATAACTTCTTTGTAAGTAGAGATGTCATATTCAAGGAGTCAGTGTTTCCCTTTATGGCTACATTCACAAACAAAGAAGTTGGTCCTTTTGTGGATAATATGAATGCTGAACTACTAAATGTAGATTGGATTCCAAGAGTTGACAGTGTGACTAGAGATATTACTCTTGGTCAAAACTGTTCACAAGAAATGCAAAGTTCTGAGGAAAGTGAACAGGAAATGGTAGAAGAGAATACTGTGATGGAACATATGGAGGAAACACATAATTCTGAGAATCAAGGCAATCTGGAAGAAGTTGTTACAAGAAGGTCTACAAGAGGGGTACATCCACCTGTATGGATGAAGGATTTTGTGTCTCTAAATATTAACAAGGAAGTACAATTTCCTATATCAGATTGTGTGTCTTACAGTCATTTATCTAAGAATTATCAGCAGTTTGTTGCAGCAACCTCTATAAATACAGAACCTGCTACTTATGCAGAGGCAAGTAAGGAGCCAAAATGGGTAGAGGCAATGCAAGCTGAGATAAAAGCCTTGCAAGATAATAACACTTGGGAGCTTGTTGATTTGCCCAAAGGGAAATCTCCAATTGGTTGTAGATGGATTATAAAATTAAATACAAGTCCACTGGGGAGATAGAAAGATTGAAAGCAAGGTTAGTCGCAAAGGGGTACAGTCAAAAGGAGGGAATAGATTATAAAGAAACTTTCTCTCCTGTGGTAAAAATGGTGACTGTTAGAACTATTCTAGCATTGGCTGTGTCAAGACGCTGGCACATTCACCAAATGGATGTTTATAATGCATTCTTAAATGGTGACTTACAGGATGAAATCTACATGAATGTGCCTCAAGGATTTGCTAGTCAGGGGGAGAACAAGGTATGCAGACTGATCAAATCCTTGTATGGTCTTAAGCAAGCACCAAGACAATGGAATCACAAGCTTACTGAAGCATTACAAAACCTTAACTTTAACCAAAGTCAACATGACTATTCCTTGTTCACAAGGAAGAACTCTGAAGGAATTACAATAATATTGGTGTATGTTGATGATATCTTGATTACAGGAAGTAGCTTGGAGCTGATAAAAGGAACAAAAGATTCTCTACAACAGATATTCAAAATGAAAGATTTAGGTGAGTTGAAGTATTTTCTTGGGATAGAATTTGCAAGATCTGAAGCTGGAATTGTTATGCATCAAAGGAAGTATGCACTTCAACTTATATCTGAAGTGGGATTGTCTGCTGCTAAACCTTCTGGCACACCTATTGATGTGAATGTCAAGTTGACATCTAAACAGTATGATGATCAAACAGGGCAAAATCAAGGAGACAAACTTGTAGATCAAAGTTCCTATTAGAAGTTAGTTGGAAAACTCCTATACCTGAACATGACTAGACCTGATATTTCTTTCAGCATCCAAACTTTTAAGTCAGTTTTTACAACAACCCAAAAGGTCTCACATGGATGCTGCACTTAGAATTGTCAAGTATATCAAACAACAACCAGGTCAGGGTATATTATTGTCAAGTAATCCAAACAATGAGGTAACAGCCTATTGTGATGCAGACTGGGCAGCTTGTCCTATTACAAGGCGATCTGTAACAGGCTATGTAATCAAACTTGGAGAGTCTATGGTATCCTGGAAAGCCAAGAAGCAAACAACAATATCAAGGAGCTCAGTATAGAAGCTTGGCATCTACTGTGGCTGAGTTAGTTTGGTTAGTGGGAATGCTGAATGAGTTAAAAGCTGAAGTAAGGCTTCCGGTACACGTACACAGTGACAGCAAGTCTGCTATTCAGTTAGCAGCTAATCCAGTCTATCATGAGCGTACTAAACATATCGAAATCGATTGTCATTTTATTAGAGAGAAGCTGCAACAAGGACTAATCAGTGTGAGCTACATACCTACTCAGAACCAGCCTGCTGATCTCCTCACAAAAGGTCTGACCAAAGCACAACATGAGTTCTTATTGTCCAAGCTAAGAGTTCTAAATATATTTGCCTCTTCTAGCTTGAGGGGGAGTGTTAACAGAACTCAAGAAGCAAA